CCTGCAGGCAGAGTATCCTGGTACTTGGTCTGCTGATTCGTGCCCAGATCCAGCAGGAAATCTGCAGTGTCACGGTGCGGCGGACAATGGAATCCCAGACTCTCGAAGTAAGGCAGTGCTTGGTCTCGAGGTCCGTGATACATGACCTCACCGGCGTTTAGGATCAACACATTGTCGAAGAGTTCAAAGATCTCAGGCGATGGCTGCAGCAGCGAGATCACCACTGTCTTGCCTAGTGTTTTAGCGATACTGCGTTGAGTTGTGATAATGTCGAAGGCTGTGGCACTGTCGAGTCCCGTACTGATCTCGTCCATGAGCGTCATGTACTTCATGCCAAACTCCATCTCGCCAGTCGTCACACGTTTACGCTCTCCTCCTGAAACACCACGCAACATACCATTGCCAATAATGGTATTCTGACAATTCTGCAGTCCCAGTTGTTCAATCACGATGTCAGGGTAGTGTTGGAACAACGTTTGCACGGTCTTCAACGCCTCCAAGTTTTCGTCCACAGAGCCTTTTGTTAGTAGTTCTTCGCCCCGACGCAACAGCTCACCACCAGTGAAAGCATGGGCGAACTCGAGCGTCTCCTTGACAGTGAGCGTCGGGAAGTGCACGTCGTGTTGGTCCACGTACGACACGAACTGTGGTAGCCGACTACCCAACTCATGCTGCTGCACTCCGTTGTACGTGATCTCCCCCTCCACCGTCACTCTCTTCTCCTGAGGGAAACGTCCACTCAACACCTTCATCAACGAGGACTTGCCAGAGCTCGGCTGGCCAAGTACCAACGTGATCGTACCGGGCTCAAACACGCCACTGAAGTTGCGCACGATGGTTTTGTGCACCACATGCTTCGAGGACGAGAGTTTGAGAGCTGCCGTCTTAATGGTGTGCGTGAGTGTGGGCAGCTCTCGTCCGTCCTCGTGTTGACCCACGACGACGTCGGCCGAGACGCTGAGGTTCTTGACTCTCACCTCCATTTGAGGTAGGGGGCGTCCGAGACCTGCTTGGATCTTGGACGCTA